TTCGACTTCGCGAAGACCCTGGCCTTGGCTCAGGACGGCGCTGGGGAGGTCCTGCTGAAAGCCATCGCACCCCGGGTGGCCCGGGAGAAGGGCTTGAGTGCGGAAGAGTGCAGTCCGAAGGCTCTTCTCAAGATGCTTGAGGAAGCTCGCTTCCTCCGGTCGTACACCGGCAGCGGCAACTTCTCACGCTGGGACGAGTTTCACTCCGCATGGCGGAGCCGCCGAGACGAGAGCGGGCTGCTGCTGCTCATGCAGTCTTACTGCCTGCGAGCTGGCATTTTGAAAGGGTCGTCTTCGGGTGTCGACTTCGCCTTCGGTGTCGCGGAAGCGGCGGCCGCCGCCTCTGCAACGGCCAAGGCGGAGAAGGAAGGCTCCAAGACCATGAAGGAAGCCAAGGCCGCGACCACTGCCTTGTACAACAGGTGCAAGAACAAGTTCCACGTGGTCTGTCTGCTTCTCATGGACTTGGACCTCATGACCGCCTTGAACAGCTGGCATGCAATCACTTTTCCTCTGTCCAGACAGTTGAACACTTTGCGTAAAGAAGTCAGGGGAAGGCAAGGCGCTTTGGCCATGTGGCGTTCGTTCGCCTTGGGAGACTGGATTTCCGTTGTCTCTGAAATGCACGACGCCATTTTCGATGCCGATCTTCATCGTCGCCTTGGCCTTCTAACGCATGAAGATTGCGCCGGCTCCATGTTCTACAACAAGTTGAGCGAGGAGCACCCCCTTGTCAGTCAACAGGACATGCTTTTCGGCCAGCTCTGCGACATGTTCTTCTGCGCAAGCTACCAGAAGTGCCTGACCAGCATGGCCTTCTTCGACTTCCCGCACAAGCTCGTCTTGCTGACCGGCAACGACACGTCGGCCATCCAAACAGTGTGCGTGGAACTCGAAGATCAGGCAAAGGCTTTTGAGACTGCTCAAGGCATTCGAACGAAGTGGTGCAAATCTGCCTGCCAGACCTCCCCCATGCAGCACCGGCTTGTGAAAGATGTGCTCCAGGACATTCGCCAGAACAATGGCAGCGCCACACCGATGCTGCGGACGGTCATGACGGATCTCTGGTCAAACTTAGCCTTTACCTTCAACGAAGAAGGATTCCGTGCGATGCGACAGCATGAACAAGGCCAGAACTTGAGTCACGCAATGCCGTCCATAGATGGCTGGGCGAAGCTAACAGGCGACAACATCCTGGGGTCCTTCGGCTACCAAGAGATCGAGCCGGATGATGCCGAGGTAGGGGATTTGGAGAATCAATGTTCGCCCCTGAAGCATTGAACGGAAAATCCAATTCAGTAAAGTCCTCCGTAATTTGAATCAAATAGCTTCTCCTCAGTCTTTTGTTTAATAACCCCCAAAAGGTCTCAGTCGGGACAGTGCCTTCGACTTTCTTCCACACTCGAAAGCTTTCGCCTTCGACGGAGGATCTGCGGACAATCCTGAATCGCAAAACATGGCCTTCGCTTTCGCCTTTGCGTGCCTCCGCCATCCCTGCAGAGTCAGCACTCATGGTGCGGTTCCACAAGGAGGGGCGGCTGCAGGACCTCGTCCACACCTGGCGGACCCGCTTCCTCCAGCGTGGGCTGGTTGTGAAGGACAGGAGATGCCCGGACTTGGTCTTCTTCAGCCTTGGTCCCTGGCCCACCTGTGCGGCGGCCCTTTGCATTTCCGTGCAGAAAGTCGAGGCTGCGGACAAGAGTGTGTGCTACACCTTGCCAAAGCCGTTGACACGGGGGCATCTGCACTGGAAGGTTGTGGAGAAGTTTGCCGACTGGCAGGTCCTGCAAACGACGATCGTGTCGCCTTTGCACGCAGGGATTCTGCAGAAAGGCAGCGGCAACAAAAAGAAACCTGCAGAGTTGCAGGTCCCACACCTTCCTGGGATGTGGCGCGAGCGTGCCAAGAATCCTGTCGCCTTGCTGAAGCATGCTGCTGCTCATGCCTACTGGGACATCAGCAGCTTCTACGTCAAGCTGCTCCTCCAGGACTAACCGGCTTGGCTAACAATACCTTTTTGAAATTTTTGTCACACTCTCTCATTGCTTCGTAAATTAATTAATGAAACTGTCGACAGGATGAGTTCGGCTTGGCAGAGGCGGAGACGGATTGGCGCGAAGACGACTTGGGCTTCGCCTTGGAGGCCGCAGTGGAAAAGGGCATGAACTGCAGCCCGGAAGAAGTTGCCAGCATTCTGGAGCGGAACATCCACTGGCGCTGTCCATCTGCGAATGAGGAGCTCGACGAGATTCTGGCTTCAGACATACTGGACGATGTCCTCGGGAAGGATGCTCAAAAGGACGTGGAGGCTGCGCAGCGGACACGTCAAAGCCAGGCTGTCGAAGCGGCGATGCTGACCAGAGCTGTGGCGAGGATTCGCAAGCGCATTCGTTCGACTTCGGGATCGGCTTCGAAATCGGCTGCGTCTTCGTCGTCTTCGACGAGGCGCAAAAAGGTCCGATTCGAGTCCAATGCTGCCTGGAGCGTCGAGGACTTGCAGCAATTGCTGCCGCCTTTTTACAGAGGCTACAAGGATCAGTTCAACAAGTGCTGGAGAGTGTTCCAGAGGCAGCACCGATGGAGCGCCTCCAGGTCTTGGGGTCCCAGCGGAGCAGATAGCAGGTGCTGCTACAAGCTACTGCACATGAGCTGGAGACGCTACCTGCAACTGAATCCTGGCGAGACTTGCCCGTTTGAGTTTCCGCCCGAGGTCTAGCGGGAGTCGCGACTTCGCCTTCGACTCAGGCCTTCGGGGCTTCGAATCATCGCGTCTTAGTCTTCGCCTTCGAATCTGAAGGCTTGGAGGCTTCGACTCGCGTCTTAGTCTTCGCCTTGAACTGAAGGCTTCGGGGCTTCGACTCGCGTCTTACTCTTTGCCTTCGACCGATGGCTAGAGAGATTCGAGTCTTCGCCTTCAACAGACGCTTCAACTTCGACCAACTTCCTGGGTTGGTTTTGCGATGGCTCGAAGGCTGGTAAGAAGGCTGCAGCGGCAGGCGGAACCAAAACAATCGGCACTTGCACTGGGCAAACAGTCAAAGTCAAGTCCTCATCTCAGACGATCACATGATGGACCACATCGTCGTCTCATGGCCTTCGCATGGCTTCGACGACGTTCATACGGTCCATGACGTTTCGGGGTCCTATGACGCCCTCGACTCGACCACCAGAATGCCCTGGCCAACGGCGATTCGGAGACGAGGCTGCCGAGCGACATGAATCCACTCCAATGACGAACAAGTTCGAACTGTCGCGGTGGCCTTGGATATCCTCGCCTTGGTGACACCAGCACTTGCCTCCTTCTGAGATGGGGGACAAAAAAAAAACCTTAACTAATCAGCGAAAAACCACCAGCCAAAATTATTTCTTCTCCCGACAGCTACACTCAAACCCATCAGCCTTTTAAATCGTCCTGCGACTTGCTGCCGCTGTGCGCAGGAGAGCTCTTGGCCACCGACTCTCAGGGTCCCAAGATTGATTGCTCTTGGGACCCTGGGATAAACTTTTCTTCTCGGCCTTGTCAGGGCTTCGCGCACTCGGCTGCCCATTGTTATTGACATGCCTGGTCTGAGAGAACCAAGACAGACACTGACTTCTGCTAGATTTGTTCAGAACTCCCCTCCGTCCGTCCTTGGACTGCATGCAGTCCAGCACAGTACAACCACTTTTGCTAAGATCCTGTAGTCAAGCCAAGGATCCCTATTTTAATGACATTTACTCAATAGGCTTTCAGATCAGAGTTTGGTCTTTTAAAACTTCAGGGGTCAGACTCTCAGGAGTACCTTTTTCAGGTATTTCCTAATTCGTTGTGGTGAAGACGATCAGAATCAGGGATTCGTCCCCCCCCGACTCAAGGCCGATCCTGTCCTCACGTACTTCAGAACGACCACGACAAGGCACATCAGGCATCGTTTGGGCGTGACTGTTGGAAGTGTAATTTACGACCCTCAACCCTAAAGACTGAAACCTCGATTGACTCAGGGTTGTTTTAATTGTTGACAAACTAGGGCTGTTATTTGGGTTGAGCTATACAAAATTTTAGGATTGCAAAGCAATAAACAGTCGATACTGTATTCGTTCATGTCTCTTTTCAATTCCCTCACTTGCCTCTACCTTTACGTCTACTGTAGCACTCTTGGGTGTCAACGCCTATTCTACTCGTCAGTCGTGCCAAAAGCCCCTTGCGCCTCCCGCTGCTGCACAGCAAGGTCTTCGAGTGTCCATTGATGGGGAAAGGAAGGAAAGAGTTTATTATACAATGCAACTTAACTTGGAGCTCAGGCGACAATTAGTTTTCTTCCTGTCGGTCAGGTTTAGATTGTGTTATCCGTCAAGGCCGGAAGATTCTGCTTTGTTTTGATTACTTTGATTAATTAACGAAGCCTCTGATCCTAAGACATCAATATTTTATTTAAACTTGAACTTGCCCGAACCAAAGGGAACCCCAGACCGTCAACAAGTCAGATGCCCATTCCCTCGACTTCAAACCCTGATTAGACTTCAGCTGTTAAGCCCGAAAACCCCACATGTCCGAGCAACACCGAGGGCGTAGAGCACCTTCCACACTAAACACCCCAAACTTTTTCAGGAACCGTAAACCGGACAGCCTGAATTTAACATTCAAATCCAAACGATTCGCCCGATTCGGACTGCTTGACCACGTCGTCCTGCTGCTGATTCTGTCATCATGTAAGGATTATACACTTCTGGTTCCGGGGCGGAGCGGGCAGGGAATCTACAGCGTTACGGGTTTCTATCAGTGACAGCATTCCGACTACACACATTCGCAGGTTGCCAAGCCCTGGTGACAACTGGGACTTCGCCTTCGCAAGGTCCACCCAGCCTCGCTTGTATCGCGACCCTTCTCTTGTGCAAAGTCAGTGACACTCAAGACTCATGCCGTTCAGAGTGTGCATGCTCCAACGAAAAAGCAGCTTTTTCGGCTTCGATTCGCCTTCGAGCAAGCTCTCTCCCTCCATCTTCTCTCGCCTTCTTTCGCAATGGCGCCCAAGGCAGCTGGTAAGAAGACCGCGGCGGCGGCGGATGGGGCCAGCAAGAAACAGCGCCTTGCCGAGAAGAAAAGTGAGGCTGTGAGGAGGGAACAAAAACAGGTGTTGTCCAGCGAAAAGGCTAACCAGGCCATCATGATGGAACAGATCGTGGAGTGGTGCGAGTCGCACCCAAGGGGATTCGAACACATCCACCGCTCGATCATGCTCGGTTCCTATGACGCCTTGGACCAGAAGAATGCCCTGACGGACGCCGATGCGGACACAAGGTTGCCGAGCTACATGAACAAGTTCCGACTCCTGACCGTCCCGGTGGCCTTGGAAATCCTCGCCTTGGTGACGCCAGCAGTTGCCTCCTTCATAGAGAAGATGCTGAAGAAGGGGCAGAAGATTTCCAAGTTCGACGTCACGGAGGTCGTCGCCTTCGTCCTCCATGTGGATCTGCGCAGCGCCTTGCCCAGCAAGCAGAAGAGCCAGCTGCTCCAGTGGTGCAAGACCAGAAGCGAGGAGTCGGACAGTCCTCTCAAGTCTTGGTCTTCGTCTTCGGAGCCGGTATGCGAGACCTGGGAGGACGGGGATGTTCTGGTCTAAATAGGTACTTAAAATACCTATATATCAGCCTTACATTAATTAATTATGTACTGGATTGTTTTTTTTGGCCGGCCTGAAGCTTCTTGCAGGACTTCGTCGCCCATCCGCTCTACAAGTACTGGAACTTTGAGCATGCCGCCGATGACGGGGACCAGTCGACGTTCGGGGTCGTGCGGTACCTGAAGACGGACATTCGCCTTCGGCTTCCGAAGGAGATCCGCGGGTTCCCGATGAAGGGCCCCCACCTCTTCTTCACGGCCTTCGTGAAGGGCTGCATCAGCATCCCCATGACCCACGTCATGGAGCACAATGGGGCCGAGGCGGTGCCTGAGAGGCCCCTCTTCTTCGAGGCGGTTCCATCAGGCTCGTCTTCGACTTCGCCTTCGAAGCCCAAGGAGGCCGAGCAGCAGCCCCCGCCGGCTACGCCGAAGAGGAAGGCTCGCTCCGACCCGAAGACTCCCGGGTCCGGGCGCTCGGGCAAGGACCCGGTGAGCCCGCCGCCTTCGTCCGGCAAGCGCAAGCGCTGAGCCGGTCGTCTTCGTGGTCCTGGTCTTCGCAAAGACAATGGCCTTCGTCTTGGATTCGCTCATGTCCTAATTCTCACCAATACTCACTGCCACGAGTCCGAGTATAATCATTATTACTTTATTAGTACCTAGTAGTACGACTAGCCGTACTAGTACTTGTAGTAGTACTGTCGTAGTAGTAGTACTAGTCCTAGTAGTAGTAGTAGTACTAGTAGTAGTACTAGTCCTAGTAGTAGTAGTAGTAGTAGTAGTAGTAGTAGTAGTAGTAGTACTAGTAGCAGTAGTAGTACTAGTAGTAGTAGTCCTAGTAGTACTAGTGGTAGTACTAGTAGTAGTACTAGTAGTAGTAGTAGTAGTAGTAGTAGTAGTAGTAGTAGTAGTAGTAGTAGTAGTAGTAGTAGTAGTAGTAGTACTAGTAGTCGTTGTAGTATTAGCACTCGTACGACTAGTACTAGTAGTCCTAAAGGTAGTAGTAGTTGTAGTAGTAGTAGTAGTACTACTAGTAGTAGTAGTGGTAGTGTAGTAGTAGTAGTAGTAGTACTACTACTACTAGACTAGTGGTGATGTACTACTGCAACACGTCGTATTCGACAAAGGCCGTTGTTTTTGCAGTGACTCTCTAGCCTGATGAGAGATTGCCTGCTGGGGCCAGCCCGGACACTGAAGTCCCCATGTCATTCGCTGTGGCCTTGGTCGTGTACTGTACACATACTCATGTTAGTCAGTAGTAGGATGCAAATCGTCCTTCGACTAAAGGCCTTGCCATCATCGAACATGGGGATGCAAGTGCATCGCTGGCGGTAGCCTAACTCACAGCTGCAGATTTTGATGAGCTCGGATGGCATGTCGCCGCTGGGGCCAGCCCGGTCACTGAATTCTCCATGTCATTCGCAGTGGCCTTGGTCGTGTACTGTATACATCCTCATCTTAGTAGTAGGGTGCAAATCGTCCTTCCACTAAAGGCCTTGCCATCATCGAACATGGGGATGCAAGTGCATCGCTGGCGGTAGCCTCACTCACAACTTCAGATTTTCATGAGCTCGGATGGCATGTCGCCGCTGGGGCCAGCCCGGACACTGAATTCTCCATGTCATTCGCTGTGGCCTTGGTCGTATACTGTTTACATACTCATGTTAGTAGTAGGATGCAAATCGTCCTTCGACTAAAGGTCTTGCCATCATCGAACATGGGGATGCAAGTGCATCGCTGGCGGTAGCCTAACTCACAGCTTCAGATTTTGATGAGCTCGGATGGCATGTCGCCGCTGGGGCCAGCCCGGACACTGAATTCTCCATGTCATTCGCTGTGGCCTTGGTCGTGTACTGTACACATACTCATGTATACCTAACATATAGTCGTAGGATGCAAATCGTCCTTCCACTAAAGGCCTTGCCATCATTATCGAACATGGGGATCAAGTGCATCGCTGGCGGTAGGCTGACTGTGAAAATCTCATTCACAGCTTCAGATTTTCATGATCTCGGATGGCATGTCGCCGCTGGGGCCAGCCCGGACACTGAATTCTCCATGTCATTCGCTGTGGCCTTGGTCGTGTGATGTACACATACATACTCATGTTTTCATAACATGTAGTAGTAGGATGCAAATCGTCGTTCCACTGAAGGCCTTGCCATTGTCGAACATGGGGATGCAAGTGCATGGCTGGCGGTAGGCTGACTGTGAAAATCTCTCTGAAGCCGCCTCAAGGCATGAAAAAATACTGCTGTCTCGGCTGACTGTGCGGCAAATTTGGTTGATCGCTCAAGCCTGTTGTTTCTCATTGTTGCTGCTTGCCAGGCTATGCCGAAACCGGGACTTCTCAGCCCGCAACTCAATCACAGTTTCGCTCATGTCGGAAGGATGTTAACTGCAGGAAGTTGCCTCGCCGATTCTTTTCTTGTTCAGACAACCGTGTCATGACAGCTGCCCAGGTTGATGGATCTCCCGGCGTCTTGGTCTCTCTCCTGGCGACGACTTCGGCTTCGCCTTCGATTCGGTTTAATTGAATTCTATTTGTGGAATCCACTAAGAATGATTCATACTTGTCGAGCAAACGTCTATGTGAACCTTTACTAGATATGTTCTACCAATTGGAAGGATAGTTTCCGAATATCCTGACTGCCAATCAAAATGAAACACCCTGCCTGCTCCCCCTGCTGTGTCCATGTCATTTCATGTCCAAAAGGCTGCGGTGGTAATTTAAAGATACACCCAGGTTTTGCAGTGGTGTTTTTGATTTCTTGATTCCTGCTAATACAATTTATTTTTGTTTCTCTGTTGGAGCCATAGAAAAGCTTCCTTTGAAAAAGTAGATGCATTTGATTGATTACTACAAACAAAGTTCTCCAGAATCACGTTGTCCCCCCCAGCCCCCCTGCTGCTTCACAATCCTCACATTACCCACAGCTGTTGCCGAAGACACAGAATCCCACGAACCCACTACGAACCCCCGGACCTTCTACGAAGTTCGCGGCAGCCGTTTGCTTAAAACGAAGTTCGCGTAAGGGCTGTCCTTCCCCCGCAGGCCGTTACCCCTCACCGTTTTGCCCTTATATTTAGGGTAGTAAATCAGGGTCCCCTATTTTCGGAAACTCCCACATCAAGTTATGATGCCATACTCCTTGAAGTTTAATTGAAGTAGCACCCCCCCAAAACATCAGATTCGTGTTTCCTCGGACAGTCCGCCGACTGCGCCGGTCCAGCGTCTGCATGGAGAAGTGTTCCAATCTCTGGTGGAGGCCTAGTTCCACAAAGCCTGTTGACCACCGTTCAGAAGCCGTCGTTGTTGCAGTTTGGTTTATTACAGGTAGCCAGAAGAAGGCCACACACGATGCTGCACCTTTGCGCATCATGGCTTTGTTGTGTCCGCTCAATCATCTGGCAGCCGAGAACACACTAGGTAGGGCTTTAGGACATTTTATATTTTCCCTTATTGGGCTTTTGAGGATCTTATTTACTAATATTTTTCAAAGGCTCTAAAAGCCCCACATAGAAAACAAGCCTCACCAGAGTGGCCGTCCTCCTTGTTGCCATGGCAAAATGGGAGTTTCCGAAAATTAGGGGGTACCTTTTTGGGGGGTCCGTATAATAAGGATCCTACTATTTAGGGTACTGTATTAGGGTCCCCTATTTTCTGAAACTCCCAAATCGGCAACACCAGGAAGTAGATCAACACGAAAAGCAACAGTCCCGGGGAAATGTCAGAAGTGCTCCTACAAACAGCGCTGCATCAACGACGGCTCTTGGAAACTAAGCAGCAGGATGTGTAAGGCCAGTGTGAAGCATCTTCAGCGACAGCAGATCTCCCAGCTCTGCACCTTCATAACCACCTCAAGCCTGCTCTAGGATTCAATGGTCGTGGTAGGCTGGTGTGGAGCTTGACAGTGCTTTGGGGATTGTGAAACTTTTTGGCTTTAGGGCTTTAGCGTTTCAGGGCTTGAGTAGGTCTTGAGGGTTTAACGATTATAGGGTTTACGTTTATAGGGTCATAGGGTTTCGGTGTTTTGTGTGTAGGAGTTTGTTTTCTTAGGGGCAGGGGGCAGGGTTCATGTGACATTCTGGTAGTCGTGCAGTTGCTGCCACTTGGCGCGTTCACGAGTTGCAGGTTCTCAAAGGCTCGTGGAGAAAGTCGCGGCCTTTGTCTTGGGAGGACGGAGCGTCAGAAGTTTGAGTTCGGGGCTGTTTGCTTGGGTTAATTTGGGGGCCGTGCCTAATCAGAACAACAACTAACAAGAATACAAGGGCTTTATTTTACCTCGAACATCCCCACCGTACTGATAGTGCATTTGCGAGGCCTACACAAACTACTGTATAGGCCAACAGCAATAAAACGGTAGTCTGTGCGGTTGGGACTCCAGGTAGTCTCACGGTAGTTGGTGCGGTTGGGCACTCCAGGTAGTCTCACGGTAGTCTGTGCGGTTAGGCACTCCAGGTAGTCTCACGGTAGTCTGTGGGGTTGGGCACCTGTCTCTGTTGGTAGTCTCAGCGGGCGAAGAGTAGTAGCTGATTTTAAAATCTAACAACCCCACACCGAGGGTGGGGAATAAATGGAATACGGCTTTGCGGAGGGTATATTGCAGAGATCATTGCAAGTATACCGGGGCTACATGAGCTCTCTCCTCATTTTTACCAAGTGCTGCCGGATGCGAAGACGCCAACCCAAATGTTGGGGTCTGAGTTTCTGGGTCTAGTCGGATTTGGGGTGAAAGGGGGATGTCGATTTAGGGTTTAGGGCTTTGGGGGTGCTGCGGCAGCTTTGGAAAGCCCTAAACCCTAAACTGTAAATAGTCCTGGCTGACTCGAGTCATGTACACCTGTGTCAATGCGAACCGAGAGACCTCGTCAGGCTTGTCCGAGTTGTGCGAGCGTAAACTATAAACAGGGTATTGAGGTGTGTTGTTATTGCTACTTTGTTGTTATAATGACTGATTACTGTGTTTATTTTCCGTAGAAGCAGTAGTAGTAGCCGTAGCTGCAGCAGCAGCAGGGCGAGGAGGAGGAGGAGGAGCAGTAGCAGTAGCAGCAGCAGCAGCAGTAGCAGTAGCAGTACTTGGGGTTGGTGTATTCGGATGTAAGGGTTTCGGGTATTCTAAACTCTAAACCCTAAGTCGAGTCTCGGGCTTTGTAGTGGGTACAACGGTTGATGATATAAACCCTGCATTACCTTAAAGACCCTAAACTATGGGAATTATGGTATATTCCTTATTATGGGTCATGCAGGAGTTATATCATCAACCATATAGGAGGAAACTGTAACAGGAAATTTGCTCTAGGACCTGGCTGCAGAGAAGAGCGTGGTCGTGGCTCAGAAGGTTCAGATTGCTCTTCGACCGAAGCGCCGGGTTTAGGGTTTGGGTGGGTATCATCGGGTATCGGGGGTTTTGCCGTTAGGGTTCAGGGGTTTAGGTTCAGGTTTTTCGGGTCTTCGGTGAGAGGGTGTGACGCAGAGCGCAGCCACGCCACGGTCAAGTCTTTAGCGGAGTCGTCGAACTGTTTTGCGC